TGCCTGGCCCCCAGACACGGGTTAGAACTCCCGCGTCAACCCTAGCAAGGATCTGGCAGCTCAGCTCTGTTCTGTGACTCCAGGGATGTCCCCTCCCTGCTTCTGCTCCCCTCACGGGCAGGTCCCTGGTCCCTGGCGTAATAAGGGACAGGGAGGAAGACAGTCATGAGGGGAGGGCAGGTGATAACTGTGGAGGAAGGACGTGCGGACTAGCTTTGGGTATGCCACTTCACTTCACCCTGAGAGGTCGCTGCGCGGTCTGGGCAGAAGGCTGAGGCCCGGAAGGGGTTTGCACATTCAGTTCCTGCAGAAAGTAAGTCAGCCTTCCCTTTCAACCCCCAGAATACTTAGTATGGCGGTCAGGGTACAGGGAGGGGTGCGTGGATCTGCCTCTGAGATGGGCCCCCAAAGCCTGGCTGTGAGCCCTCAGGAGACAGGGCCGGCAGGGGCTGCTCGCTGGGGAAAGGCCGAGGCTCTGTGGCCCAGGTGAAAAAACCAGCGGCCCGGTGGGGTCAGGGGTGTTCCTCGCTTCTCTGGGGGATTCCCGTGTCCCAGAGGTCCCTGTCCTATCACAGGACTGTATGACCTCACGGCCTGGAGAGTCTTCAAAGGGTAACCTCGTTGGTCCCCTGTCTGCAGTGGGCCTTGGGAGGGGGCCGTGGGAGGAGGCCTAATCCAAGTCCCCCTTGCCTAGAGGTGCGGCAGGATTCCTGGTGCTGTTGCCCATCTCTGGGGACTCTGTGCTCTTGTTCCCAGCCCTGTCCTCTCCTGGGGGGCGGGGGGGGGGGCGGGTTTCCCAGCTGCAGCTGAGGCCCCGTCCCTCAGGCCCTGGGCTGCAGTGAGGCTCAGGCCTCCTGCAAAGGGGTGGCTCAGGCATCCTCAAGGGGCCCACCAGGTCCACGCTAAACCCCCTGGCAGCCCCTGCTCAGACAGCCTGGGCGGCTGCTCCAGTATGATCTCCGGCCATTAGGGAAGTTACCGAGGAGGCAGACCCCTCCCCCACCCCGCAGGCTCCTTTCGCTTCTGGGTCTGATGTATCTGGGGTTCTCCTTGGTTGCAGATGCAGTCTTAGGCTAGAAGGGGCTCCGGACTCTTGCAGGACAAACTTCTGACCGTGTCACTCCCCAGTTAAAAATCTATGGTTCCCACTGCCCACAGGGAGTGGCCAAGATCCTTCAGGTTAACATTCAAAACCTGTCAGGTTCTGGCCCCACCCTGTCACTCTAGACCTCTTTCTTGCTTATCCCTGTCCCCTGAAGCCAGAACTTCTCCTTCCTCTGGCTCCCCAAACCAGCTTCCTCCTTCTAAATAGAGAACATGCTATACTGTGTTGTAATTCTGTGCTTGGGGATACGTGGTCCTCCTCGGGGCTGGGGAGAGTGTCTTTGCTCTACCCTCTGGCTCAGGGCCTGCGAGTCCCTGGCACTTAGTGGATCCAGGGGCTGATTCCCCGTGTACACCATCTGGACAGCCATGCACACATCGGGTGACTCCGGAGCCCTCCTAACAGTGACACCGCTCAGTGGGGAATCCGAGAGGCTCCTCCTCCCTTGGCTCCGGGCTACATTTACTTTCTGATCAAATATAATCCTGATGCTCGAGGCATCCTTGATGTTTGCAAGTCAGAGAAGTTTAATTACATGTGTCATTAGGATGGCATTCTGTAATAGCTCTGTGACTGAATTCATTAACAGAATTCTTAACAGATAAGACAAGACAAATTAATATTTTGTTGCCCATGAAAGCTTCTCATTAAGAGAGTAGTGAAAAAGTGATTAATATTTTGTTGCCAATCAAGATGTCTTGTACAAATGACAAAGAAAGGAGGCCCACACCTCGCGGCGCTCTCTCATCTGCCTGCCTTGGGGCTTTGTAGGTGCGGTGTTCCTGTACCAGGCGCCAAGGACAGTGGCCGGCGGCGTTCCGTCTGGGGCCGCGGTGGGCGGGGGCGGGTGTGGGCACGCCGCACGCCGAGGGGGGCTCTAGGACTCAGCAATCCCCGATCTTCGTTCCATCGGGGCCGCCCCCACTCCCCACCATGCCCCCCCAATCCCCAGGCCCTCCTCGTCTCTTGCCTGATTTCCTCCTGGGCCTGCTGTCATCCCTGTCCCCAGAGTGGGGCTGCCACTTAGGAACACCTGCTGTGTGCTAGGCACGGGGCTAGGCGCTTCACACACACGGTCAGCCTGGAAATGCCCGCGTAAGGAGGACAGCATCATCCCCAGTCCCCCACAGGCTCACAGAAGTTCAGCGGCTTCCCCAGGGCTGCTCTGGACTTGCTGGAGGTGGCTGGTCAGTGCGTCCCAGGATGATGTGGACACCCCAGGGTCGTACCTCCCTGCCTGGGGAGTCTCCCGGGGCTGCTTGTTGGGGACTCGGGCTGCAAGGTGCCGAGAATGTAGTTTAGCAGCAGTGGCAGTAATAACAATGAGGATAGTAAGATAAGTAATAGCAGCAATGAGGAGGACAGTGATCGTAGTTAGCACGGGACAGTGTGCTAAGAGCATCCCATGTGTCTTCTCATTCAGCCCTCACTCTGACCCCATGAGGCAGGAGCTATTATTTATCCCCGATTCACAGAGGAGGACCCCGAAGCTTCGAGAAGTCAAGTGCCCTTTCCACGCTCACTCAACTAGGAAGTGCCAGAGCCGAGGCTTCAGCCCAGGTCCCTTTGCCCTCAGAGTCTGTGCCGTGCCGCCTCCCTCTGGGCCTGAGGCAGAGGGAGGGGGGTGTGTGTGTGGGGGGGCGCGTACCTGCATGCATCCCGTGAGCATCCCTGGTGGGGCCCGTGTTGCCCTGCGCCCTCACGTGGGGGTTTCTGGGCAGCACAGGGCCCTGCCTGTTCGCAGGCTGCTGACTTGACCATGAGCAGCAGGTGTTTCCAGGGAGGTAATAAGAGGCCATTAATCTCTAGTTGCACCCACAATTAACCCAAATTGCTAACCTCGCTGTGAAAAGTAGAAATGCAATTGAGTTGATGCTGGAGGCACGTTCAAGGGAGGGGAAAAACACTCAAAGTAATTTAATTAACCGATGGCAAGTGCATTAAGAGGAGTTCTGCTTCCGCCTTTGTTTCTGGTGTCTTTAAATAGAGCATCAAGAAACGCACATGGATGTTCAGACAGACATGGGCGGACCTGTCCTAGTTTTGAATTAATCACCACTGGCCAAACACAGTTTAAAGCTGATGCCCCACCCCTAGAGCTTTTGCACACACAAATCTGTGCATCCCAACACCTCCCCCACTCCAGTCTTGGCAAATAGGACACCACCTCTCCTTGCTAAGATCCCAGACAAGCCCTGGGCATCTCAGGCTCAGAAGACAAAGGACTCTGCCCACTCGGCATCTGCCCATCAAGCACCCACCAAGGTTGTGCTGGCACTGACATTTGGAGATGGGTAGGATTCAGGCTATGCTCAGTACCGTGGGGAAACTGCAAGGAAATAATCCTGCCCCACGTGACAGGGGTGGGAGAAGGGGACTCCTCGCCCGGGTGTGCCCAAGATAGCATCCCCACATTGGCCCGCCTCTTCCTATCTGCTTCCCCCATGATCTGCAGGGTGCAACAAAGGGCCTAGTGAGTAGCAGAGTCCCAACTTGGTGGTTTCTACAGAATTTTATGCTGGGCTCTCTCCCCACAAAGCAGTCTCGCAGTTGGAAGGAATCTTCAAGGTCATGGGATTTAGCTGCCCTCGTGTGGCTAGTAGCATTGCTGACCATGGTCCTGCTTGAACTTGCATGCCTCTAGGAATGGGGAGCTCACTGCTTCCTGTGGAGGCTCACTCCAGTTTGGGGCTTCTGTGATGGCTGTCATGGTGTTCCATCTCAGCAGTCCAAACTGGTTTCTTTGTGGGAGCACCGTGGCCCTGTGTGCTTGCTGAACTCATGGGGTCACACAGCCCAGACAGGCTCCTGCTGCCCTAGTCCCTCCCTCAACACCTTAGAGATGTTCGTGGGAACTGACCACGCATCCCACAGGTCTTCCTTCTCGGGGCCAAGCACCCCATTCAGGGCCAGCTTGCCTGTCCTAAGCCAGGGAGACCAGGACTGCCTCCTCTTCTGCCTGAAATGGAGATGCCTGTTACTGTGGCTAAGACCTGTCAGCTATCCTGGTAGGACCCTACATCGGTGACATCCCTCTGTCTTCTCAATGAACTTCTGGGAAGCCATCTTGCTCGTTGGGCCAAACTGGGCCAGTCCATATACTTGAAGGATGCGCTTTATTCTTCAAGCCCAATGGAAGGGAGGGACCGCTAATATTCCCTTTCTGATAGCTCGGGTTGGTGGTTTAAGACGTTGCTCAAAGTCATGAGGCTGGTTTGGGGTGACACTGGGAGCCCAGTCCAGGCTGCATGGGGCCTCCCAGTACAGAAATATCCCTGTTGGTCACGGTAGGCTGCAGGTGCTCAGCTGCTCTCTCTTCCACTCCCCTCATCAAATCCACATTCCCACGTCCAGCCAACAAGGCCCCCAGGGCAGGCCACACTGGCCTGATCCCTTTCCTTTCACCTCCTCACCTGGTGCCCGCCTTCCCGCCCACCCAGCTGGGCGGTTCACCCCTGCCCTCCACAGGGAACCCCCATTCCCTCTCTTCCCCCTGTCTACATCCTCCCCAGCTGTGCGATCCACAGTCTCCCCTGGCTCTTCCAGGCACACGCCCTCCCCGCTCCACTGTCTCCCGTCTGGCCACGTTTGCTGTGGGCTTGTGGTCCTCCCTCCCGGTGGGCTCTGTCATGCAGTCTGAGCCCCTCACCTTCCATTCCCATGCCCACTGTTTGGCCTTCGCTGCCGCAGCCTGCACGGAAGCCTCCCGCCCTGCCTGCCCTGCCTGCCCGGCCTGCACGCCCTTTCCCTATTGTGGGTCTGGCTGGCAGGCTTGCAGCGAACGTCCAGTCTATTCTCTGCACACAGTGGGACTTAGGTTTTCTGATACTTCCTGCTCTCCGACAACAGGCTTGAAAGGCATCCAACGTGGGATGTTAAAATGAAACCCTCTCACCCTGCCACTGCCACGGGCGATTTGCAGGTTACTTCCCTGGGGCAGGTCTGCGTTCAGGGTCAGAGCCGAGCCACTTACATTGATGTCTTCCAAGGCCATGAAGTTGAGGGCCAGCCCATTGCGCTTCCAGATGATGGGTGGCCGCAGCTCTCCGCGGATAGCGCAGGTCAGCACGGTGCTCAGCCCCACGGTCACGGTGGCCACACTGACCCTCTCCTCGGGCGCGAGGCTGAGCTGAACCACCTCTGCAGGGGACAAGGAGAAAGTCATCAGGTGCACACCCAGCATGGGGAGTACCACTCACAGGCAAACGGCCACAGGGGTTCCCGGCAGGAGGCTGGCAGGCTCCCGAGAAACTGCTACGGCCTGCTGTCTAAACGTACCGACGGACTCTCCTTCTTGGGGGACAGGCCGCAACTTATGGGAAATGTTCAAAGGGCTCTGAGAGTCAGAGAAGTCAGGAGCCATAGCAAGCATAGGGAAACCATCTGGGCTATGGATTTATGAGTTGAGCCAAGCATGTGGGCTGTCACACAGGGACCAGGGGCCAGATGCGTGGTGGACGCCCTGCTCTGTGCTCCTGGGCCTCATGAAGTCTGGGCTTTGCTAAGTGCAGTCAAGGTCTGCTGGCTGAGCTGACAGGTTTCTCATCCGTCTGGGGGCAATTTAAAGGTTGCACTGTCTGAAGTCTGGGGAATGAACTGGCTGACCTTTGAAGGTTTGTTTCTGTCTGAGGATTCTTTGAACTTGGATTTGGATTTCTGTTCAGCAACCATGCGCTGTAGCCTTTAATTTTTTGAAGCGTACTTCAGGCTGTACAAATTATTAATCCTGCCACTTTATACTTGCTAACTGGCATTAAGACGGATCATTCTTCAGGCAAATGGGAAGGGTCTAAAATATTTGCTTGCAATCACAGGCTTTTAGAGATTTTCGGGATTTATGCGAAAGTTAATTGGACTCCGGCTGTTCATATACCGACATGGGATCAGGCTTGGAGGGAGAGTCACCAGCCCAGCGACAGGACTGCCTTCTCCCTACTCCTCCCCCAGATCTACAGCTCAGAGCGCCTGGGGCAGCAGGCAACGGTGGCAGGAGCTGAGCGAGGCGGGCTGGCTGGCTCTGAGGGTCTGCGCTTATCTGGGATGCCAGCAAAAATGCCGGGAGCCCTCCTGACTCTTATTACTCTTTTGGGACTTGGGGGTCCTGCCAGGGGTGGGGCAAGGCACAGAGTTGGGGACTGAGCTCCGTGACTCGGTGCGTCCCCTTTGAATTGTGACTGGGCAGCCTGTCTATGCTTGCACCCTCTTGCCGGCGTGTGTGGGGAGGAGAAGGCGGTGGGGGGGGGAGGTGGCGGGGGATCGCAAACCCCAGCAGGTGTGACGCCCTGCAAAGTAGGTGAAGTGACAGCAAGTCCAGTCAGGTCAGATCCTGAGTTAGTGAAGCCCTATCCCCGCCACAAACAGTCAGCGGCCCGGCCCTGGGCTCACGAAGATGAACAAGATATACACTAGATGCTTAATCAGTGCTTGTTGAATGGATGGATGAAACACAGAGAAAATGGAAATAAGGAAGGAAAGGAGCCAACTGGCCCATGGAGCGGGGACACTCACACGCAGGAAAAATGTGACTCTCCGTGAAAGAGCTGCAGGGGGAAAGATAAGCACCAAGTGATTGATGCCGACGCACCCAGCATAATATTTTACAAACATTAAAGTGATGCATTTCAGGTTCCCTCTTAAATCACGTCCTGCTTGCTGCCCTCCCACCTCTGAGTCATGAGGCTTATTGGTCAGGGCAGGAGAGAGAAGGCGCTCATCCTCCATAGCGAGCTCCAGGCTTTGGAGATTCAGAGGGGACAGAGAGAGGGAAGGAGAAGGATGTGCTACACGGGTCTGGCTTCTTCTGTGCTCTGCTGCCCTTAGGACTCAGAACCCAGATTGTCCCCGAGTGTAGAGGAGGTACTCCTTCCTCATCGGGCGAGCCACAAGGCTCTGTGGAAATAGAACACAGACCCCTTCCTCTTCCCAGGGCGTTGTGGGAATGAGGGAACCAGTGAGAAGGGTGTGCCCGTTGGCATGTAGGTGAGGGGAACCAAGGCGGGCTCTAGAAGGGGGTGAAGCTCTCTCCCCACCCTCCCCCCTGGGGTGAGCCCATGAGGCCTGGCACAGAGCCAGAGGCCCCTGGGCTCCCGAATGGCATGGAGAGGTCCAAAGGTTCCTGGCCACACACTGGAGGGCCCGTGAGGTGCTGTGTACCTCTATGCCTGAGGACCAAGGCCCTAAGGGAATGCCCCTGGAACCTCCAGGGGTGCGTAGTGCCAGTGGGGGCTGCTGGAGGCCAAGCTGTGGGGGGACATCAGACACTGAGACAGCCCAGACCAAGAGCAGAACCTGGGATGACCCCTGCCAAGAGGACCCGAGACAGGGCAGCTGGGAGTCGGCAGGGGGGACCGAAGGTGGCAGAGGACGGCTGTGTGCTTCCGTCCCCACTCAGAAGCCAGTTTGGGGAGCAGCTGGGGACGCGGGGTGGGAACTGCAGGCATGAAGCATTTTTCTTAGATAGAGCATTACTTAATGTGGACTTGGTAGAACGACCCGCTCCGACTAAGCTTTACAATGGCCTGAACATTCAGGTGCATTGTCCTCCCAGCGCTGGTGGGTGGGGCTTGGGAAGAAGTCAGGCGGGTCACCAAAGGAAAGGACATTTTCTCTGCATGTTGGAACTCTAGTCCAACGACAAGGGAAAGAGCCACTGAGCCCTCAGGCAGCAGTCCCTGGGGGAGACGGGCCATTCCTGGGCTACAGAGTCCTGTTCTCAAGGTGTGGTTCCCCACCCCCCCCACCGGCATTGCATCTCTCGCCTGGGTAGGGGGGCAACTGTTAGAAATGCAGATTCCTGCCCCTCTACCCCAGGCTGATAAATCTCTGGTGGCAGGGTGGGCATCCTGGTTTTAGCAAGCATCTCAGGGTACCCTGAGCCCTGACAACCACTGCCTTAAAAGATGGGGGGGTGTCTGGGTAGATGGAAGGGGAGAGTGTGGGGGGGCGGTGGAGGGAGGATGGGGAGGTGAGGTATTCTGGCTGGCTGGGGTCTCGTTTGGAATGTAAGACCTATGTGCAATGTCGGATCCTCCACGTGGCCCCAAGGTCATGTACTTCACACAGGTTAGCACAGAGCTACAACCAAACAAACAAAGAAGCAAAAACCCAAGTGGGAAGGCTGCTGGGACAGCTGGTTCCAGCCTGCTTCCTCAGCACTTCCCCGATCATCTGTATGTCTGAAGATGTGCACTTCGCGTAGGAAAGGCTCATGCAAAATTAGAATGCGTGAATACTGACAGAACCATCATAATTCTGCTCCTGTCAGCTACACAAATATTAACCAAACGGCAAATATTTGGATCACTTAAAGTTTAATTAAATGAATGTTTTATTGGATTTAATGCATGTCAATATTCCCTGACTGGTTTAAAAATTCTGAAGAGATTGGTGGCAACCAAAGCTCTCCGTCTGCCCTTACTCCCAATTATTTACTGTTCAACACGCCTTCCCCAGGCAGGCTCCCCTCCCTGCTAAGTGACCTCCCATGGTCATTTCCCCGAGTGAGAAACGAGACAGCATCATGGGCTGGGGCTCGAGTGAGCGGGGAAGATTCTGGACTGTGGCTCTGGACAGCTGACCTCCAGGCCTGGCTCTGCTGGTGACAAGCCAAGTGGCCTTTGGCAGGTCCCTTCCTGCCACTTGGCCTCGGTTCGGACATCAGTAAAATGAGGGATCGGATGAGGAGGGCTCTGGGGACCCATCTTGCTTTGGGCTCTGGGACTCTGAGGACATGGTTCTAAGCGGACAATCCTGCAGACCCTCTTCAGTCCTGCCAGGCGCTGGCTGGCTGCCCCTTCCCTCGCCCCCCAGTGCCATCTGCCTCTGCTCTTTGCCCACTTGCCCACAGCGCTGCCAGTGACGTCTCAGGTGGCAGCACCAACAGCTGCCAAGCCCGCGGGGGCATCCCTCAGGATACCCCCTGAATCCCTGCTCTCCACCCCAGACACCAGCAGCCTCCTGTGTGCTCACCTCTGCAGGTTCCCGTGAGCACAGCCCTGCTCAAAAGCCGCCCACTGCTCCCATCACGCACAGAACTCAGAACGGTCCCTGCCTGCCCCCCCTTCTCCTCCCACATTACTTACCACGGTGCCCGCCAACCCCCAGCCTATGCGTCTATCCTGAGACCCTCGCTCTCTCGGCCCCTAGAGATGAGCTCAGGGAGGGTTTCTGGGACCTTGAAGTTTTAACACAAGGGGATGCTTAGATTATCTGTTGAAGATTGAAAGACACCTTCCTGCTGAATTTGTCAGGACCTTCTCAGGCTTAAGCAACAGAAACTCTCAGAAATGCTGGACGCCCGTAAGAGAAAAAAAAGGAGGGTGGTCTTAGTTCTCGTAACTGGGAAATCTAGCAGGGGTGGAGGAGGCTGTAGACGTCTGGGGCCCTCCACAAGGCACGCTCTACTTGGCTGCAAGACGCCCAGGGGTGGCCCCACACTCACACTGTCCCTGTGCACGGGACCCCAGAGAAAGGGACCAAATCTTTCCTGAGAGTCCAGGAAACAAGCATAGGAGAGAACTCTGACTGTCAGACGTGCCTCCTGTGTTCTCCCGTGAAGCCATCTCTGGGGCCACAGGACTGACCCGTGCTCGAGGCCTGGGCCCTGTGGCCACCACAGGGCCAGGAGCCAGGTGGTTGGAGGTGGGGACAAATGTCCCGACAGAGAGGGTATGTTGGGCGGATTGACAGCCTATGACTGCCACAGAGACACAGAGAAGGCTTTCTCTTCCCTCCGCCCCTTCCCAGTCCCACCTGGAAGGCTTGCCAGGGTGCACGGTGACAGGGGAAGGGAAGAGGGGCCATACTGTGACGACAGGGAGAACCAGCAGAACTGAAAGCTGGTTCAGGTTCCTGCGGCTGCCCCCGGCCTGCCCTTCTCTTGCGAGCTCTGGGGGCCGGGTTGGCCGGCACGGGGGACACCTCACCCTGGGCGGGGCACGGGAAGAGGGCCAGGCAGCCTGCAGCGCGTGGGGACGCCCCTACATGGCCTTCTGCCCCCGCCTGGGCACGCGTGCAGAGCAGGAGACGCGGGTCTACTCACACCTGCGCTCTGCTCTGTGGGGCCAGGAGTGCCGGGGGGCGGGGAGCGAAGGAGGCACCGTGCAGCTCTCCAGGGCGGCGCCTGCACCAGGGCCCCCGAG